AAAGAATCGAACGATCGTTTCGCGAAAACAGAATTCCCGAACGAAGGCACGAAACTAAATCCGGTGCATCTTGATCCGATATCTCCAAGTTATTTCGACAATAGGCAGCGGGTTGAGCTAATAATATTCTTCCCTTCGGGGCGAGAAGGGGGAGAAGAGGCGGAGGGTGATATAGCTGCGGAGGGTTGTGCACGCCAGCTTTTTCCTTCTCCCCTGCTGTCCTGCTCCTTCCAACCGACACCCAACCGCTTTTCCTTTCTCTTTAGGGGGCTGACAAGAAAAGCATTGTGCAGAAAACTTGCGCACGGCGAGCGTGGCCGTGCCGCGCCGACTGGCGTACTTGTATGAGGCCGCCACTCTTTTGATATTTCAACGTAGTAGACGAGTGGCGTGTCGTAATGAAATCATCTCCAGTGCTTTGATCTTCCCCTCGCGCGCCTCGCTCCTTTCCACCATGAGCAACCACCTCCGCGTCGCTTTCCCTTGAAAACGGCTACGCAACCACCCTCCCCCCGCCCCATCCCTGCCAAACTCACCGCTCTTCTTCTTCCTCCACCGCCGTCCCACCTTCCCACCGCCGAGCATCGCTCTCGTAATGAGTTCCTTCTGCGCTTTCTTCGCCACGCGATACATTTTTGCCATGCGAGAAGCAATTTCCTAATTATGGCGAGCGCTAACCGCTTGTCCTTTGTCGCGCGCCCCCCATCCTCGCCCTATAATTACTTTTTCGCCTACTGTTTTTTCACGCTGTTAATAGACGGCCGGGGAGGAAAGGAATGCCGGTGAACCGCGATAATTCCTCCACAGTTCGTCGGCCAATAATCGGAACGAGGGTGGCGAAACGAGCTTTTCATTCGCTAACGCCAACTTTCTTCTATTGCCAACGAACCTTGTAACTCCATGAATTTTTCCTTTTTTAAGGAAAATTTTTAACCATCCGATCGTTTAGAGCTTCACGAGCTTTATTGAGCGTTCGTAGGATTCATTCACTTGGGAATGGATCGATTTTTATCATTTTTTTCGTAATACGTAAGATCGATCGATCGTGCGCGCCTAGTTCCTCCTTCGCGAGATTCGAATGACGGGACAAAATTATTTTTTTCCCCGGCTTTGAGTTTTAATTTTTGGAAAGGAATATTGGATAATATGAAGACGTGAGTAAATATATAATAAAAATTAACATTGCATTTAATTAGTATGGAATCTGGCAATTAATTCGGAAAGCGCGCTTCGAATTTGACAAACGTGTGCAATTCTGTTGAGGAAAAATGCTTATTAAAAAAAGAAGTTATGGCTATTCGCTACGGGATGCCCTCGATAATCCTATCCTATAAATTATCCGATATGGCTCGGATATGAGTCGAAACAATGATGAACTTAACAAAATAACGACCAAAACGATAAAACTATAAAATGAAAAAAAACCCTGTAAGAAGACATACCGGCCGCTCAAAGATTGAATTTAATTTATAAAAAAAAAAAAACTCATCGATAATTTATAAACGATTTAAATCAAAACGAAGCTGTTTCGAGATGTTACAACATCCGTTATAAAATTAAAATGCTTCTTAATAAATTTACAGAATACTTCTCGACGTATTGAAACGTGACCGATCGATTATCGATTAATTCCCCGCCTATATACCCGTATTTTGTTTAATCCTTTAAAAAGAGGATTTAAAATTTCAACGCAACGGTTGTCGAAACGATTATTTTTTACATTTTAAAAATGAATTTCGTCCAGTCAACATACATACATTGTTCGAACAATTGTGAAACCACGTCTCAAAAAAAAAAGAAAAAAACACATATTCGATAAAATTACTCGGGGAAGGGTGGTAACTCGTTTAAGGTAATCGAACGCGAGGACGAGCAAAAGTGATTGTGCTAAACGCAATAAGCGAGGACGTTGGAACAACGCGAGGCACGATCCATCGGAAGCTGCACGGTGTGGACATTGACGATGATCGATACGGCGGAGGGTAAGGAACATGCGGAGGAAGACGCGGGAGATGATAGCGGAGAGATGAAGGACGAGACGGTTATTCTTCTTTGTATGGGGGGGAACCACGACCGTGTTAGGTGTATAAGATGTATCGAGCAACAAGGACTAACGGCCTTTAATTAATAAAGTTACGGGAACAACTTCTCAAAGTCTTCCTACTCCTTCTTACACGATCCTCCTCCACCACGCTCCTCCCGCCTATTTCCCTTGCTTTAGAAATTCTCCTATTCCCTCTCTCCCCGAACAAGAGGGGCCTCTCTTCTTTCTTCATTCTTCCGCGAGCACTCATCTACAAACTTTTAACCCTTTATTGGATGAAAACTCCACCTTATCTTCAACGTTTACTCGTATTTCCATTAATTATCCTCGGGTAATCGGGGGACGGGTTTTCGTTTCCGATTTCTCGCTTAAACAACAAGATTTCTGGCCAAGATTCTCGTATCGAAAAGAAGTGTATAATACAGCGTAATCGAACGGGTGAGATATTAAAGATATCTGGAATTAATAACCCGCCCTTCTTTTTAATAGCGACACAGGGAGAGGAAAAACGATGCAAGTATAACGACCGCACGCGTGCAATTATTCACAAGATTAAAGGTACACTAAGCTAATAATAATTACAGCCGTGTACTTTATGTTGACGTACTCGTGGGTCGAAATGGCTACTCGGTTACCTTACACGCGTTACACGTAACTGTTATATATGTATATACATATACATATACATATATATATATACATTATGCACACCACGGTATACACAATATGTACGTAAAGTGTACACCTGAGTATACATGAAATACAATTTATATTAATATTGGCCGCGCGTAGACGTGGTCTAAGCCTCTACGCGCAAGAATTTCTTCTCTCGAGACAAACATTCGATCCGTTTTTACCGAGAGATATTAATTAATGGCACACGAAGAAAGAGGCTCGTTTCGCGATTCAAAAAATTGCGTCCCCCTTCCCCTTCCACGAGGAGGTGAGAAATTCAACGACCTCCTCGACGACGAGGATCGTCCGCTCGAGTAATTGATAACTCGCGCGAGGATACAATATGTCTTTTCTTCTCATCGACGAAGCGGCGCCAACCGGCGGAGATATCGTTTTGGGTGAGGATACCGCGCGGCTTCTGCAGTTTCCAAGGAGAGCGACACAAGAGAGAGGAAACGCCACCCGCGGATTGCCAGACTTTAAGAATTAAAGCAAGTTCTCTCTCTCTCTCTCTCTCTCTCTTGCTCCCCGCGTGTCTCGACGACGGTTGCCCGAGACTCCGGCCGCGAGTTATGGCTCGCTAAAGAAAATTGACTTGAACCACGGCCAGGATAATAAAAGCGCGTTGCTGCGAGGAAACGCGGGCGAGAAGAATGAAGGAAGAAGCGATACTTCTACGGCGGTCTATGCGAGATATATGGAAGGAGCGGGCGATGTCGTTTAGGGGAGGGATGATATCGATAGATAGATATCAATTAAGAGTTGTTACTTGTCCCTTCCCCCGTCATTATTACGATAACGATTCAACGAACGAGCGATATTGGGATCGCGATAACGCTCGATGGGGTTAGTTGTCGCCGCCTTTTCGAAATAATAATACGAGTTTATAGTTGGCCGGCTCGTGCCAATGATGATAATTGTTGCGAATTTCGTTTGATCAATTTATCGTCGATGTTTGAAACGAATATCGAATCTATAATTGTAGAATGAATGATTATCGTTGAAAGGGATTTTGTCGAAGAGATGATTACGTTGAAAGATAAATATTTATAAATTTTGGAATATTTTATCAGGGGTAAGAAAAAAAGGGGTAAGAGAGATTGGCGCCATTTACGCGTGTATGATAATAACAGTAATAATAATAATAATTTGGCAAAACATGGGGGTCGTAATGTGCTCCGTAAGAGCGTAATTTGCGCGCAAACACGTGTTGTTCCGTTAATAAATTCACGTAGAGCGGGATAATAAGCCGGTCTTCAATAAATAAACGCGCGCGGACAAGGTCAGCTAATGTAACGACACCACTGTAGGGAGTGGATCGCATGAGCGGTGAATTGTTATTTTATTTATAGTTGGTCAGTTCCGATTTTACATTTAACTGGATAGCACCGAATTGAATCACTGATATGTAAACCAGCGAGCTGGAATTCTGGTAACTCGATGATAAACGGCTCTGCCCTCACTATTGAGACACGCGCATTATTTTTTAACTGTCACGATCAGCGATGATGGATTGGAGGATTGTTGCGCCCGATATTCCTCCGCGTCCCCCCCCCCCGCCCCCATCGAACGAAAATCCATCGAACGTTTTTCGCTTCGACGAAAGAGGAGAGTTCTTTTTCTCTCTCTCTCTCTCTCCTTCCCCCTTTTTTTCCTTTCTTCGCGTATCGTGCGTCGTAATTAAAACGCGGAATCGAATATTCAGTTCATAAACCGTTAATTAACTGCCGGTCCAACGTGATTATATTATATATCGCCAGACCCATTGACAGAGAGAAATGTGATCTTTCCCGAATATAGAAATACGTTTCAAAGATTTACGTAATACAACAAGTATCCGGTCGAAACTTTCTTTCTTCTAGCGTCCCATAGTCGGTCTCCCGTATCACGACAATCGCCAATGGCGGAAAATTGAGGTGGTTAATCCGGCGTAAAAAAAAAAAAGAAAAAAAAAGAAAGAAAGAAGAGAAAAAAAAATATGGAAAGTTCATTTTCAATAGTTATAGGAAACTATCGAAATAAACTATCGGTGAACGCGTGCTGTAACCGTATTCTCTTCCTCGAATAATGAACTGACCTACAAATCCGAATAGCGTTGGCGGGTATGGTTCCCGCAAGATAAGCCGAAAAGCACGGTTCTTTTAACGCTTTTTCCGCGTCATTGGGACGAATCGAATCGTGTATTCGAACAACAGGGGTGCATGGGGGGAGAAGATCATCAAAAAGTGACGTAAACGTTGTTTTTTGTTTTTCTTTTTTCTTTTTTTTTTTGTCGTTTTACCTTATTCGGTGTGGTTGCTTGTTGCTGCGGCGAACAGCTGGTGCTGTGTACGGTCGGTTGGTTGGTCGTGGCCGGTACAATGCCTTGGTGATTCAGGTGGCTCAGCTGATTGAGCTGCGTGAGTTGTTGAGGCTGCTGCACCGGGTTCTGGGTAGTGGCCTGCAGCTGTTGATGATGCGTCTGATGCGCAGGATGGGTCGTCTGATGATGCGTGGCGGGGAAGGTGGGCACCGTGAACGGGACGAACAGCATCGGGCTGCCGAGGATGTGCGCACCACCTCCACCCAATGCCCCCGTCTCCTCCCTACACCTTTTTTGTGCGTTTTTGGTTTTGGATAACTCTTTTAATCCATCGACCGTGTTTTTTTATTATTTATTTTACTTTTTTTTTTTTTACTCGACGTGCTACTACGTATATATATATATATACTCTTATTGTATTGACTTTTTTTTTTTTGTTCTCGACACTGCCGACGACGACGACGAGCAGAGTAGAAGCGGTTGTAGCGGTAGTAGTAGTAGTAGTAGTAGTAGTAGTAGTAGTAGTAATGGTAATGGTAGTTGTAGTAAATAGGAGTAGTAGTAGTGGTAGTAGTAGTAGTAGTGGTAGTACTATTATACTGTGTCGAAGTGAAGCTATAATGTATGTTTAGGAATTTATCATTACCTGCACTCCTGCCCCAGCCCCTGGTGCTGGGGGTGGGCGTAGGGGGCGGCTCGGACGGAGGTGGTGGACGCCACCCTCGCTACCCTCAGCGATAGGCCGCCCCGCTGGCTGGTAAGCTGGACCGAAGCTGGCTGGTGATTGCTATGCGCGCAGCAACAGGCACGGCAACCGATCGGCTGTTGCTGACTCGGGATAGCCTGGAGGTGATGAGTTAGGGGGCCCCTGGGCCCCGTGGAGGAGGGAGAACACGGGTACACCCCAACCAAGCAGCCCACCACCGCAGCCCCGGGGCCCGGTGCACTCGGTGCCAAGGCGCCTGTGGTCGAGGCCACCCCAACCTCGCTGGCCCTTCTGCAACCACTGCACCACTGCGCCCACCCTCCTTGCTCAAGGCTCTGATACGGCCTTGCTACGCCGATCGTTGACCCGCCGGACTGGACCACCTCCACCTGGCCCTCTTTCAATTCGCGATCTCTTGCGGGCGGGATCTTGCTACTTTCCACCTTTCCCAGCCTGGAAACCACCAACCTTTCGCGCTCCTTCCCTTCTCCTTCCCTTTCTCTTTCCTTCTTTCCTCTCTTTTCTCTTTCCTTTCTTTAATCGATATCCTCGATCCTCGTCACGCTTCGATATTCCTCGGATTAGCCTCCAAGATTCTTCTTTCGCCTCCGCTTCACTTCGACTTTAATCTCCTTTCTAACGTCCTCGTGGACGTTTTTACCTGTTGAGAAAAGATCCGGACGAGTTTCTAGAATTCGGCTAGAAATTCCCACTTTCGGCTGTATATTACTCGTTTACTCGACGAATAATCCGTCCCGATCTTTCCAATAATTCGCGTTCACCTGCCTTTTCCTTTTCTTCTTTCCTTCTTCTTTTTTTTTTTTTTTACATCTACACAAAGAGATTAGAAATCGGTGGACAAAAGGTGCGTTAATAACAATTAACGAATCACTAACGAATCAGTCTTTGCACGGGTTTACAACTCAACACTGACTCGAACTGACTCAACAACTCGAACGTTTTACTTTTTCCTTTTTTTTTTTTTTCCTCCTTTTCCTCTTCAAAACGCGAAACGAGAAACGTACACGGTCGTCGGCAAACGTTCGCCGATACGTGTCGAAAATTGTCGGCGTGGTCGATGCACGCTCATAACCACGTGGTCGACTTGAGCAGGTTCGCACGTCGATCCCCTCCGATTGCCGGTACACAAATACGTAGCGGAGAACGAACGTTCCCTCCGCGACAAGTTTCTCGGGATCCGAGGGAGAGAGAGAGAAGTTGTTGTATCGCCAGCTAGAAACTTGGAGAGTAAAGTGGTGGAGAGCGAGTCTCGCGGTGTCTGTGTCGTATCAAATATTAAAGACGCGAATCCCGGTTCAACAAGTATACAATTGATCGCACTCTTGTCTCTTCCCTCCCGTATCCGTGTCGAAAAACCGGTGTTTGCACTCGGCTATCAACGATGTTGTAGCCCTGTAAAACCGCGCGCACCAACTTTCGATCGAAACTTTTCCTTCCTTCCTTTTTTCTCTCTTTTCGCAAAAAGCCGTGCCGCGCGTTCAACACAAATCCACTATCGACGCGCACGACGATTCATCCGAATTCTCTGCGGATTCGAGCGAACGGAATAGGAACACTGTTTCTTATCCTCCTCCTCCTCCTCCTTCTCTTCTCTCTTCCTATTTTTCTTCCTCTTCCTCCTCCTCCTCTTCCTAATTTTCACCAAATATCACGCGAACAAACGAACGAGCCACGCAATGAGAAAACGCGTCGTATATCACGGTATGTACTCGGTTGTTCTCACGACGAAGCACACCACGGCCGCGACGAATGCACACCTCGCGACGAACAAGTGGATATTAAAACGGCATATTCGTATTCCTTTCTTCCCCGTAACTCCCCTGCTCCCGTCCGTCGCACTTTCTTCCTCTTCCCTCTCCCTCTCTCCGTTTACGTGGAGAAGCAACGCACGTTACGCAGTATTATCGCGCCGAGTATCGTCATCGTCGCAGCAAGCCTTCGAGCCGGCCTGGCTGCGTCGTGGATGGTCAGGTTGTCGCGGCTCTATCGTCTCGCTCTTCCCTTCCTTCCCTTCCTCAAAGTCAAAGTCGAATCCGGGTCCTCGCGGTTATCTGCGAACGAGGACGAACGAAGACACGGCGGGTGGAAAAAGAGGGAAGCTAACCCGTAATGTTGGAAGGTCGCTCGCCGACTGACTACCACTTCCGCTCAGGCTGTTGTGCGATTCAGAGTGGGGGATGCTTCGTTGGGTTGTTGTGTGTAGGGGCTGGTGGCGGTGGGTAGACTCGTTGGTTGGTTGGTCGGGGTGGTTGTGTGTGCTCCGCTCGTGCTGTGCGCGGGAAACCAGGGGGTTTCGAGGCTGTACAAGCGGCACGGCCCGGCAAAATACCGACCAGTTTCACGTGGCTCGCACTACCTTCGGTTTAACTACTTTCCTCTCTCGGGGTTTGCCGCATCGCGTATCCTTCCTCGCGGCGTGTCTCTCCTCTCGGCGTCGATATCTCTCTCTTCCAGCAACGTGTCTTCTCTTTTCTTCTTTTCGTTCGCTCGCCCCTTCGCTCCACCGACGTTCGTCTCAGCGACGAGCTTCTTCGTTCCGCGTGCTTCTTTATTCTTCGCAAGTGTTCGTTTCGATCGGTTTTTTTTTTTTTTTGTTTCGAGCGTGGAGTCACACAGTGACAAGTGTGTCGGAGGGGATTATTATTTTCGCTGTGCAACTTTCTCGAGCTTCGTTCCGCGAAACTGTCAACGTTCGATGAATGCAGAAACGGGAAAATTCATCCGATTTCCACAAATCCACGCCCCTTTCAACCTTCGATCGCGACACGATTAATCCTTCCGTATCCTCGCGTTATCCTTCCAAACTTTCGTCTTTCCAAACGATCCAAATTTTATTACCACGATATACAAGCGATATAACACTCGGCCTCGGCTTCGTTTCGACGGACGTCCGACGGACACAAGATCGACACCGAGGATGATCACTCTCTCGCACGTGATTTCCCCCCTCGATTCTTCACCCCAAGAGAGCACTGAGGACGCACAATCCCGATTCACGATCACGTTTCGAAAGGAGGGGGGGAGGGAGGGAAAAGAAGCACAGGGAAACACTCGCGCCACGAACCCGGCTCCGTTTCGAGGAAACAGATCCCGCTGGAACGTCGGTCGGTCGGTCGGTCGGTCGGTCCTGCTGAATCGGTCCCGTTCCTGCCGCTTGCTCCGTCGTACGCGTGCGTGCTCGTCGTCCCGCTTTGTTTGTTGTGTTTACGATACGCGGTTGTATTGGTCGTGCGGCTCGAGGTCGGCTTAGAGAGAGAGACGACGACGACGACGACGACGACGACGACGACACGAGGAGCGAAGTTGGCGGCGACGGCGAAAGCGTGCACGAAGGGAGAACGGGGGGGGAGGGGGGAGGAGGAGGGAGGGGGGGAGGGGGAGGAGTGGAGAGGAGAGGAGAGGAGAGGAGAGGAAGAGAAGAAGAAGCGACGCACACGGCGGGGGGAGAGAGGACGAGGAGGAGGATGGAGGGAGAGAGAGGGAGAG